AAATAAAAAATCATCTTTACAAGAATAATTAAGAAGAAGAAAAATGAGAGACAATTTTACTCTCTCAATATTACATTGTCTCTTTCCTCACACTTTCTTCTTTTCCTTTTTATTTTTCCTTTTACTTTTCTCTCGGTTCCTCTCTTTCTTTTTCTCACTGTTTTCTTTCCCAAGATAGTTAAAATCGAGATTTTACGTAAAATCGAAAAAGGGATAAAAAATTATAAAACGTAAAATCGTAACGTAAAAATATCGTAAAAACATAAAATCATTTGGAATATTGATAAAATCATTTTGATGAAAAAATCATAAAATCGTAAAATCATAGTAATAAATCGAGATTTTAACTACCATATTCTTTCCTTTATGTGATTTTTGCCTTCTTTTTCTTTTCTTACGATCAATCATATACATATGTATATGGGAAAAACTACTCTTATGCTACATGTGACAAATTTTTCTCCTACACAATCTTCGATAACTGTGCCACCTTTTTTTTATTTTTTAGGTGGTGGAGCCCACAAATTTATCTCTATGACATGAGATAACTTATTTCCTTTAACATTATATTAATAAAATCTATGTATATATAGGCAAATGCATTGACCATTTTTTACTAGTTTAATCATTGCACCTATTTGGATTGTAACTAAAGTAACTAAATTTCCATTTAAATCTAACTAAACTTTAAGAAAGCAATCATTGCATATAACAAAAAATCTTAACAACCTTATCTCTATTCCACGTTGTCTGTCTAGAATAATCCTATGGTTTTATTTTTATTTTTTAAATATTACACTTGCGCATCTATAAAATAATGGACTAAATATATACACATTAATTTGATTTGGAATTAAAATGTTTTATAGTTGAAAAAGTATCTTCCAAAATTTTTAGTCAAAGCTATACACGCTAGCACCAATTCTTGTACCATTATGTGATGAACAAATCTTTTAAAAGCGTAATTTACTAAGTAAAAGTGTTATCAATAACTGTTAACCTTTAAATTATTAAGAGAAATTGATAACACCTTTTTTAATTACTTTATTTTTAAAATCTTATACTAAATTAAGAACAAACTTAGGTTCAAAATATTTTTTTATATATACGAATAAGAAATAAAATATTACAAATGAGCTAAAAAATAATTATTATGATGTATAACTAAAAATATTTAATATTTGCTCAAGTTATGAATGAAGAGCGATTAAAGACAAGTATTTCATACAGGCACACCAAAGCACAACTACCATATTTAAATGCTTGAGCCAGTTAAATTATTAGTTTTGATACCACCACTAAGTGACTACGAGAGTTTATGAATTTATTTATTTGCAAGAGGTAGTTATGAGTTGAAAGTTGTATCATATATTTAATCAAATTAGAAAATTTATTTATGAAACAGTAAACTAAATACATAAGACTATATATTGTATAAATACATAAACTATAATATATTAACCATTGGTGGCACAATTTAATTATTATTTTTTAAATAATTTATCCCTTTCTTTTTGTTCGTTGTTTGGGATAAAAACAATTTAGTAAAAATAAAATGCTTCAAGTTTCCACTAACTTTTCTATTTCCCTTCATGGACGATTATTTCAACTAATGCTTGAAATGTAATATTTAATTATTTTCTTTTAAATAATTAATTAATGTAATCTAATTTAATTTCTTTTTTATTTTTAATTTTTTAATTTTTAATTTTTTTAAATATTACAATATAATTTTATTTCCTTTTAAAAGGACAAATACTAATCCCAATAACTAAGTCCACTCTTTATTAGTGAGATTGACATGAAATTTCACCTAATAATTGAAAAAGCTTTGAAAAAAATGTAACTTATTTTTCAAGTGTAAGGGACACAGAAAATAAACCTATACAAGAACAACAAGAAAATAACATGAATGGGGAATATATTTTTACGTTGCATGAGATAATTTTATCTTATGTAATACACAAAAAAATACATCAAATGAGAAGAGAGAAAAAAAAAATGGATCCTATTTATTTTTTGTGTGTGCAAATATATTTTTCTAAATAAATAGTACGAAAGTAGGTATGACTATAAAGATAGTTAGTAGTTAATAATTCATGGCGTGTTACGATTTGTAAAATGTTTAGATAGTAGATTGTTCATCAAGTAATTCCTTCTATTCCAAGCCAAATTAGTAATTATCACTAAGTTGCGAGATATTTTGTACCACATATTTCCCCTTTAAGATATACAAAATTGAGTGTGCTTTCAGCCTCAACCAAGCATAATTTGTACTAGTATTTCTTCTAAATATGGCAGCCACTATATTTTGTCCGAATAAACTTGCGCAAAGTCATGTTTTCCTTGTGCCCAAGAGAGATGACTTATGAACTGTTAGTAAAGAGTAAGAGCCATGTAGGTAACCCCAAGAGGTGTGTAATAATCACTATAGGGAGGCCCTAAACAGCAATGATATGGACCAAGGCTATAAAGAAAAGCCTCAGATGCTACGTATGACAATGGTGGGCGGTGTAGTATGGCTGCAATGGCTCTCTCAGTTGACAGAGTAATAACTCATAATTGTAGTGATATTGTGTGTTCATGGTGAGAAAGGAGGGAGTATGTATAATTAGATTTAAGCTCCATGCATGGGTGGTAAAGTGAGCCAAGTTAACTGTTATGGGGAAGAGCCATAACAGCAGCACCTTACAGGGGTAAGGTACTCTGCAGCCCTTGTCAACACTGCAACGGTTGTTATGCAGGGAAAGACATAAAAAAAGTGGACATTTTGGTGCAGACAAAGGAGAATGAAGGATGTCCCAAATAAGACATTTTGATATCTCAAGTTGGGAATCTGCTACATGGGTGTTAATATGGCTATACTGTTAAGGCAGATCTAATGTTGTGGGGTTGGTGCAGCAGGGGTGATATCGGCCTTATGGTATTGGGCAGACCATATTGGACTAGTCAATTGGGCGAGCCAGAACAACTTCAAATACATGTTATCAAATATCCTTTTCCATCAAGTTGTAAGAATATTAGGCACCTAAAAATCAATACATTGAATTCCATGTTTAAAGTAAGAAGAGAAACTTATGCACTGAATAATTGCACCATTAAAGCTCTTATCCTAAATAACATGATGAGCAAACAGCGAAAAGAACAAAATCTACCCAATAATGCCCCAAACCAAAGAGTGTTAGGCCATTAGGGGAGCCCAAAATAGGAGAGTTTATCATCCACACATCAATGAGTCTAAATGATAAACTCATAATAAATAAACTAATCTCCACGTTTCAACCCAAAACTTTAAAAGCATTATGTTTATGGATCATTTCAATTATATCTTTCATGCTTAACCCATACGTTCCGGTGCTCTGGATGCAGGACTTTATCAGTCACACAATATACACACTCATTCAAAATGTTCTGAAAGGACCTTCAAAATTTCTTTACCAATATCAACTGTTGCACGTGCGGTTTTCCACACCTTGTAGGCAGCGTAGCCAAAATTTACATATGGGTATGAGTTCCAATCCTACCATAGTAAAAAGTGTATGCCGAATTCTCTACTCAAACCGTGTAAACTGAATTCTTTCTATTATCTAGAAGTTGAAACTGTTGCATCTCTTCTTCCCTGGAATCAAATTCCTGGTAGCTCTTACTCTTAGTCTCAAGTGCATAACTTTCTATATAGGCATTCAAAACACTTGACGTTTTTTGATTATGAAAGATTAAACACAGACCTTATCGTAGTAAGAGTCTGAGAATTTTACCACTTTTGTAGAAATTATGGTTACCTATGAAACAGAACCGGTTTCAGCAGAATTCGGTTTCCTGACAGCTCCTGGTCTAGTGCATAACTTTCTGTGTAGGCATTCAAAAACATTTGCCGTGTGTTGCATACGAACGCTAAAACACAGACCTTAGAAATCTCAGTATTTTATAACTACTGTAGAAACTGTGACTCTTTATTAAACAAAATCTATGTCTGCAGAATTCGGTATCTTGACAGCCCTTACAAGAAAGGTTAGTTGATTTACACCTATCCTATACACGATAATGATGACAATGTGTATCATTTGGTTAACGGATTAATAACATATTTTTCCACTTAGAAAAAAAAAATTGTTAGTCTGTTAATAATTTAACTAATAATCAACTCAGCATTAATAAGTGTAAGATTTCAAGTGTAGAAATAAGACTATTATTTCCAAATAAAGAAAGGAAACTTTCCTACATGGACCCTTATATTGTGTCCAATGCCTAATCTAATTTACTAGGTTCCACCTTAATCTTTTCATGTATATCTACCAATGGATATTCCACCAAATCAGGAAGTATTTTCTAGAAGGCAATCACAATCCCACGATCATAACAACGGATAATCCTCCCTTAATTTAAGGTATATACTTAACACTAATTACATTCTCCACTCTGGTTTTATACTGACTCAGGCAAAGTCTATGCAAGTACACAAGCGCTTTCTATTAGCGGAGCATCAATATCAACCACATTACAAGAATATACAAAGGAGTAGATCCTTAACGTTTGGATATTCCTATTCAACATTTCCTTTATTCCACTACTAAATATCAAAGTAATTAAAAAAAATACTTTATTCCATTTCATTATATATAATTCTATTCTATCCATAGTAAAATATTCAAATAAAATCAGAAGAATGACCAGCTAGTGAACGGCCTCTAACTCAGTAAGCTATAAACGGAGCTTTCTTTGCAAACAAAGAAAACCGGCTGATTTTTTTTTTAATTAGAGGTTGGATTTGGTCACAAATGCTTATGTTGTCTAAGTCTGAAAACGGACATGTTGCCGGCCTTACCCAAAAATTGAGAGCAATACATAAATGTCCCTTTCCAAAACAGAGAACAACATCAAACAAAAGCTAGTAAATTAAGAAATTCGTGCTAGAGAATGGGAGAAGAGTTCCTCTCCTTCTTATATACGACGCAACAAGGTAACCAACATATTTTGATTTACTTGGAAAAGATTCAATTATGGCTGAATACCAAGGTTACATCCTACTTTTTATCATTTGGCTAGTCTCCATAATCCTTATTCGAGCTTTACTCAACAAAACAAAGAACAAAGCTCATCGACCACCAAGTCCACTAGCCATACCCATCATTGGACACCTCCACCTTCTTGCTCCAATACCTCACCAGGCTCTTCATAAGCTCTCAACCCGCTATGGACCCATAATGCACCTTTTCCTTGGTTCTGTCCCTTGTGTCGTTGCTTCCACACCAGAAGCTGCAAGAGAGTTCCTTAAAACTCACGAAAATAACTTCTCCAACCGTCCTCAAAGTTCTGCTGTTGATTATCTTACATATGGCTCCCAAGACTTCTCCTTCGCCCCATATGGACCTTATTGGAAATTCATGAAGAAAATATGCATGTCTGAACTTCTGGGTGGTCACACACTCAGCCAACTTCTTCCTGTGAGGAGAGAAGAAACAACCAGGTTTTTGAGACTTTTACTCAAGAAAGGGAACGCGGGTGAGGCCATTGAGGTTGGAGGAGAATTAATGACACTAGCGAATAACATTGTGTCAAGGATGATTATGAGCCAAACATGCATGGAAAATGAAGGTGAAGCTGAAGAGGTGAGGAAGTTGGTGCAAGACACCACGCATCTCACGGGGAAGTTTAATGTTTCCGACTTCATTTGGTTCTTTAAGAACTGGGATTTGCAGGGGTTCAGCAAAAGGCTCAAGGAAATTCGGGACAGGTTTGACACCATGATGGAGAGGGTGATCAAGGAGCATGAAGAGGAAAGGAGAAAAAGAAAGGAACTAGGTGGAGGAGATGGTCAGATCAAGGATCTACTTGATATATTAATGGACATACTTGAAGATGAGAGCTCTGACATAAAATTGACAATAGAGAACTTAAAGGCCTTCATCTTGGTAAGATCAAAATTATATTTTCCTTTTTTAGAGATAATAATATAAAATGATTAATATGGTAATTAATTCCAAGATTAAATTTTGCGTTAAATTGATTACTTTATATGATATCTGAGTTGATTATCAAGTGATCACAAGTTCGAATTTTGGATTGAATTGGGTGCTTTGCATTCTTTATAACTGTTGTATAAATTTTGTAAGTAGACATAGCAATAGAGCTTCCTGAACTTCATGCAAGTGTTGTGCTTGTCTCCAAATCCAGACTTTTTAAGCTTATGCCAATTGCCATAATGCAAATGAGGGAGTGATAACACAGTTTGTTAAACAAACTTAACACAAACTGATTACATATGATTTATAAATTTTGCAGGATATATTTATGGCAGGAACTGACACTTCAGCCTTAACCACTGAATGGGCTCTGGCTGAATTGATTAACCACCCATATGTGATGGAGAGAGCAAGGAAAGAGATCAATGCTGTAATTGGAAATAGTAGAATAGTAGAAGAATCTGACCTTGTCAACCTTCCATACCTGCAAGCTATAGTTAAAGAAACACTGAGGATTCACCCCACAGGTCCATTAATTGTCAGAGAATCATCTGAAAGCTGCACTATCTGGGGCTATGAGATTCCATCAAAGACCCAGTTGTTTATTAATGTGTGGGCTATTGGCAGGGACCCCAATCACTGGGAGAACCCACTTGAGTTCAGACCAGAAAGGTTTATTAGTGAAGAGGGAAGTGGGAAGAGCCAATTAGATGTGAGGGGACAACATTTTCACCTAATTCCATTTGGGAGTGGAAGAAGAGGCTGTCCTGGAACCTCACTGGCTTTGCAGGTTGTGCAGACCAACCTTGCTGCTATGATTCAGTGTTTTGAATGGAAGGTTAGTGGAGGCAATGATACTGTTGACATGGAAGAGAAACCCGGGTTAACCCTTTCAAGAGCTCATCCCTTGATTTGTGTCCCAGTGCCTAGGCTTAATCCTTTTCCTCCCATGTGATTGTGATCAAGCTTGGGGTAAAAAAAGTAAGAAACCAACTTCAAATTGAAAATATAAACTTTGGTTCTTCTTGTTTCGTTGTTATATATAATCATAATTATCAGTTTCACGGACTCTCTCTGGGCTCAATGAACGCTTAGATGAAGATTATTCCAGAGGGATTAAAGATTGCATAAGGTAGATCATGACAATGACACAAAAGTCATTATCTATATTAATCACAAACCGGGTCTTTAGTTTGACATAATTGTGATGCCTTACTTTAATTTTTTTTTTTTTTTAAGTTACAAATGTGATCTACAGGGTGTGGGGAGGGGAATGCAAAACAGGCTGTAGAGAAGATAATGGAAAGAGTTTCAAAATAAAAAATTGGTGCCATAAAGCTATTTGCCAACTTACTCTCATGTTTTTAAATGGGTATGCTAGATAAAGTAGAGTCGATTCTAACAAGAGTTTATTTTATAATATCTTCATGAAAAATAATTGCCAAAATAACAATTAAAAACCACAAACCAAACTAGAATTTTCATCAAGTGGCATAAAACAATATTCTTTACATGCACTAGCCCCCATAGCTGACTAGGTTGGCGTTTTTAATAAATAAATCTCTCCTGCAAGTTCAGTGAATGATCCTCTCCATCTGTTTCTTTCATAAATGCTAGATATTGCTATGTTAATTAATTAGTTTACTCCCAATCTGTCTCTTATGGCCTTCGTTACATGACTATTAAGACTTGGAGGATGTCTATTTAGTATTTACTCCTATGTTGCTACCCCAAATGCATAGCCAATAAAAAAACTTCATGGTATTCGAGGTATGACTGATTTTCCATGCTATGTCCAAGTCTTACTCTTTTGTGTGCTCTCCAGCATTCTTCTTGGATCCATACAATGGAGAAAACAAAACAAGGTCCTCCCTCCACCGAGTCCACCGGTACTACCCATCATTGGACACCACCAACTTCTCTCCCCAATACCTTATCGTGATTTTTCCAAGCTCTGTCCCTTGTGTCGTAGCTTCCACCGCAGAAGCTGCCAAAGAGTTCCTCAAAACTCATGAAATCTCCTTCTCCAACCGCCCTGCTCAAACCGTTGCCGTTGAGAGCTTAATCTACGCCTTCCAAGACTTCATTATGTTTTCATCTTATGGACCCCTATTGGAAGTTCATGAAGAAGCTCTACATGACTGAACTAATGAACTTCTCGTTGGAACACACATCAAATTAAGGATATACTTGATGTTTTATTAGACATGTACGAAGATGAGACTTCTGAAAAGAAATTGACTAAAGAGAACATAAAGGCCTTTATAATGGTAAGTTAGTCTATGTTCACAATTTTCTACTCCTTCCAAGTTGGTCAACAAAGGAAATGATGCTGTTTTTTTCGGATAATTTTCTTTTCCTTATTGGAGGTTAGGATAAGATGCGAAAATCACATCTGTTAAAACTGTATTTCCATATGTAGCCTTGCCAAGTTTTATATTATTGTATTGATAAAAGGTCATGTTGGTAACATTATATCTTTTATTGAAACGTTGCGTTTTGTATACATGTGGTATACTAACTTTGCTGATTGGTATATGTGTGTGAAAAAAAAAACACATTTGATGCTCATTGCTGCACTCTTTCTTGTACGCGATATTGAGTATCAAAGTTCTCCTTGTTTTGCTCTGCTAGGGTTTTGCTCAAAAACCAAATCTGATCTACTAATCAGATTGCATCGAGTTTTTCTTGGCTGTTGTTCTCTCTTGTGTTTGCAGGTTCATCACCGGAGCTTGGTGGTGGTTGAAGACCAAGGTGCTACTCGACGGCGGCTTCTTGAAGACATCAAGAAGTGTGGAGAAGGGCTTCTGCTTCACGTGGGATTCTGGTATCACAACTGAGTCTATGTGTGTGGTTGCTGGTTGCTGTTCTCTGAACTTGTGTTCAATTGCATCTTTTAAAGCCTTGCTGTTTAGGTTTATTGATCTGTTGAATGCAATTTGGGGCTTTAGGGTTTCTTTGGGGGTTTTGGTTATTTTTGCCTGAAACTGAATATTGTATTCTTTTGTTCTTGTTTTAATTAGTGCAAGTGTCAGGGAGTGGTCTCCCTAAATTGATCCTTGACGTAGGAAACTTGGTAACACAAGTTTCTGAACAAGTAAAAATCAGCGTGTGAATCTTTCTCTCTTTACTCATCTTTTCTGTTTTTAAGAAATCAAAGGAAACCAGAAATAATTCTCAAATTTTATCTCCACTGAATTTCAACAACATCCTATCATATTATAAATATCTAATATCTGCTTTTTGTAACGCCTGGCAACTTGCAAGGATCAACCCCCACACACTAACACGAGACTTTTCAGTGTGTTTTTTCCTTACTCGCACACTTCTCGGGAAAACTTCCCAGGAGGTCGCCCATCCCAGAATTGCCCCAAGTCAAGCACGCTTAACTATAGAGTTCTTCCGTTCCGGCCTACCGAAAAGTAGATGCATCTCACCGTACTGGAAGAGAGGCTCTGCTCTGATACCACTTGTAACGCCTGGCAACTTGCAAGGATCAACGACTGTCCCCACACACTAACACGAGAATTTTCAGTGTGCTTTGTCCTCACTCGCACACTTCCCGAAAAAACTTCTCAGGAGGTCACCCATCCCAGAATTGCCCCAAGTTAAGCACGCTTAACTATGGAGTTCTTCCGTTCCGGGCTACCGAAAAGTAGATGCATCTTGTTAGTATAGGTAGTACCAATTAATTCTTATAAGTCATTCCCAACTGTACCGTCTCATACAAGCACAGTCTCTAGAATCCCTATCTTTCGGGTGTTGATTCAATTCATTCATGTACCCCCTGTCGCTGGAAGCCTGCCAGGAGCCACTCCTTGTCCATGCCCTTTCGCTCCGGCGATCACTCCCCGCCCTCGTCAGCGCCCGGGATGTTACACTTTTGAGTTTGCATATGCTAATTTTTATCCCTAATATACACATGCAATATTCATGTTGAGATATATACAACCATTAATGTAACCTCACTCCTCTCCCAACAACTTAAGCTTTTGGGTTGAATTGGTTCTTTACATGGTATCAAAGCCTCGTGTCCCATGTTCGATCCTCGCCGCCCCCCACTTTATTTCAAGTGAAATTTCTTTGTTCGCACAGGTAGGTGGGCCTGTGCATTATCCACTCTTCAAGCGCAGTGAACTCTCGTGTGAGGGAGCGTGTAGAGATATATAAAACCATTAATGTAACCTCACCCAACAGCTTAAGCTTTTGGGTTGAATTGGTTCTTTACAATCCAGGACATATTTGTGGCAAAACGACCGTACTACTAAGAAACAAGAAATGTTTCTCCAAGTGAAAGTTGTTCTTAAATGTTTTCCGGTGTAAAGCAGTCAAGCACGTTGGTCAATATGACACGAATGGTCATGTTAATGTGACTGACGCGATTGAGTGACATGTAATTTTTATTATATATTATATAACCTGTATTGTATATCATGAAAGCGGGGGTGTTAGTGGAAGGCGGCATGGGAGCTGACGGGTTTGGGAAAGTCAAGAAGAGTGATTTTGGCTGACAGATCTGATCTGGACACGTCAAGGTGATTGACGGCACTGCATAGACTGCCTACATGTCATCCAATCGCGCCAGGCACACTGACGGGACCATTCGCGTCATGTTGACCAACGCGTTTGACTGCTTTACATCGGAAATACATTTCAGAACATCTTTCACTTGGAGAAACATTTTTCATTTCTTAGTAGTACAGTCATTTTGCCCATATTTGTTGAAGGGAATGAATAGTCTATTTTGACTATGATATGAAATGCGTATTGCATAACGAAGATCATGACAATGACTTAGAAGTAATTATGTATATTAATTGAGAAAATTATTTGTGCTATAAAACGACGTAAGTTATGTTCTTTTAGTTTTTTTATTCTATGTACTCTCAGAAGTATATAGTTATAACATATTTTTTTTCTCTCCTCAATCAATCAGCTGACGTGAAAATTGAAAAAAAAAGAGTAACTTTTTATGTTATAAATATGTACCCTAGGAAATACATAGAGTAAAAAATTAAAAGGACATAACTTACATCTTTTTTAAAAAGTTACACACTAAACCCATATTAATTTTGGGGTTTGCATTTTTCATTTAACATGACACAACAAAATTTTCTACACACACAACATTTTGTGGGGCCCACACTTTTTGAAAAAAAAATAAAACTACAGCACGCAAAATGAATCTCTATAACACTACACAATCACTTTTTCTACAACATAACTCTCATAAAATTCATTAATTTTATGTTAACAATTATTATCTACAAGATGGTCTCTGGGGAGGGTGGATGTAAAAACAGGCTGTAGCGTAGACAATGGAAAGTGTTTCAAAATAAAAAAGTTGGTTCCGTAAAGCTACATGCCAACTTACTTTCATGGTTTTAAAAGGAAATTCAACCAAATGATTTAACTGAGTTGACACGTGGGAGTTGGGCACCTAGGGTAAGAGTATATATTTGATTATTTTCAGTATCATTTTTAGAAGAAATTTAAAATCTTAATTCTAAAACATGTGTTCGATCTCACTCAATATCATTTTTAAGATGAATTTAAAATTTTAATTTCGGATCTGCCCCAAACTCTGGATTAGTTCATAAGGACTATAGGATTATCGGGAGATAATCTCTAAAAAAGGAAAATCAAGATAAAAGCCTATTTGGACATGTTTTTTTCTACAAAAATTACTTTTTTTCACAAAAAAAAAAAAAAAGCATTTTGTTATTACAAAATTCGTTTGAACGTCTACTTTAAAAAAAAAAATTAGAAATTACAACAAAATCAAAAACTTGTTTTTTTTAAGCTAAAAATTTTAGCTTCTAAACAAATAAAAATCAAAAACCAATTTTTTTTTCAAAAAACTAAATAACTTTAGCTTTTTTGTAAAAAAAACATTTTTAAAATAAATAAGCTAGTTCTTCCAAACATACCAAAGTCTTTATTAGGAGTCCATTCTAACAAGAGTCTCTTTTAAAATCTAATACATGTACCCAAAAGAAAAAAGAAAAAAAAAATCTCTTCGCGAAAAACAATTACTCAAATAACAATTAAAAACACAAACCAATCTAGAATTTGCATCTAATGGTATGAAACAATATTCTTATTACAATTGGAGTCTCCCACTTGATGGATAAACCAAGCAACATGTGCTAGGCTGCTAGCCCATATTACCGACTAGTTTGACGTTTGTAATGAACAAATTGCCCACATTGGTTGTCTCTGTCCATCCCCTCTCCTGTTTCTCTAATGAATGCTAGGTTTTTCCTTGTTAATTAATTAATTTCCTGCAAACTGTCCCCTATACCCATCATTCCATAACTATTGGCAGTTGATTTATATGTTCTCCTTTGAAATGGTTATATGGTTATGTTATTTGATCTCAAACTACTCATTTTTACTCATTGATTATGAAATAAAATAGAAAAAAATGTATAATTTTTGAATGAAAAATTGTAATGTAATAACGTGACCGTATTACCACTTTTTTAGACGAAAGAATCCAAAGCGATTGGCAGTGTTTCCTCAACTTTAAATGCCACTTACCAAAAGCCTTCATTTTCCAACAAACATCTAGCTATTGTAGAGATCTGAAATTGTAAACATTTATCTCCTATATTACTAACCCAAATGCACAGCCAATAAAAACACTTCATAGTATTCAAGGAATGGATGATTTTCAAGACTATATTCAAGTCTTCATCATTTGTGTGCTCTCCACCATCCTTCTTAGATCCATACTTAGGAGAAAACAAAACAAGATCCTCCTTCCACCGAGTCCATGGTCCCTACCCATCATTGGACACCTTCACCTTCTATCTCCAATACCTCACCAAGATTTTCACAAGCTCTCAATCCGCTATGGACCCATAATACACCTTTTCCTTGGCTCTGTCCCTTGCGTGGTAGCTTCCACCGCAGAAGCTGCCAAAGAGTTCCTCAAAACTCACGAAACCTCATTCTCCAACCGCCCTGCTCAAACCGTTGCCGTTAAGAGCTTAACCTACGGCTTCCAAGACTTCACGTTTGCACCTTATGGACCCTATTGGAAGTTCATGAAGAAGCTCTGCATGTCTGAACTTCTCGGTGGCCGCATGCTTGATCGGCTCCTTCATGTGAGGCAGCAAGAAACGAAGAGATTCATCAAACTTGTGTTCAAGAAAGGGATCGCTTGTGAGGCCTTGGATGTTGGAGCAGAACTCATGACGCTTTCGAGTAACATCGTTTCAAGAATGACTCTGAGTCAAAGGGTTTCTGAAAACGACAACGAAACAGAAGAGGTGAGGAAGCTGGTGGCGGATACGGCAGAGCTATTGGGGAAGTTCAATATATCGGATTTCATTTGGTTCTTGAAGGGTTTTGATTTGCAGGGGTTCAACAAGAGGCTCAGTGAGATTCAGTTCAGGTTTGACACCATGTTGGACAGAGTGATAAAGGAGCATGAAGAGGAAAGAAAAAAAACCAAGGAAATGGGTGGAACACATCAAATTAAGGATATACTTGATGTTTTGTTAGACATACATGAAGATGATAGTTCTGAAATTAAATTGAATAAAGAGAACATAAAGGCCTTTATAATGGTAAGTAAGTCCATGCTCATAATTTTTGAAATTTCTACTCCTAAAAAAGTTGGTCAACAAAGGAAATGATGCAGGTTTTTTTTTTTTTTTAATAATTTTCTTGTTCTTCATTTCTGCATGTACTAATTCTAATCTCTAAGAATAAGATGTGATATAAGATAATATCCTCACTCTTACGTGAGTGTAATGGGGAAAAAAAAAATTATACAACAAAAACAAAAATATTATTCCTTATTTATATACTGATGTGCTGTTGTTTCTAATGACAATATACAGGACATATTTGTAGCAGGGACTGACACGTCATCAGTGACTATGGAATGGGCTATGGCAGAGTTAATCAACAACCCAAATGTGATGGAGAAAGCAAGGCAAGAAATTGATGAAGTGATTGGAAAGAGTAGAATAGTGGAAGAATCAGATATTGTTAACCTTCCTTACCTGCAAGCCATAGTTAAAGAAACATTTAGGCTTCACCCTGCAGGTCCATTATTATTTAGGGAGTCATCTAAAAGGGCCATAGTTGGTGGTTATGATATAGAAGCCAAGACTCGATTATTTATCAATGTTTGGGCTATTGGTAGGGACCCCAATCAATGGCAGAACCCACTTGAGTTCAGGCCAGAGAGGTTTATTGGTGAAGAGGGAAATGGGCTGAGTAAATTCGATGTTAGGGGACAGAATTATCATCTTATTCCATTCGGGAGTGGAAGAAGAGGGTGTCCTGGAACCTCTTTGGGGCTGCAGGTTGTGCATGTGAATCTGGCTGCAATGATTCAGTGTTTTGAATGGAAAGTTGATGATGGCAATGGCACCGTTGACATGGAAGAAAAGCCAGGGATGACTCTTCCAAGGGCTCACCCCATTATATGTGTCCCTGTTCCTAGGTTTAATCCCTTTCCTTTTATGTGATTATTATGATGTTATGTTTTATGATCTCAATTTTAAATTTGATGTATATTTTAAGGGTTTTATATTTGTCATTTAACACGAGAATTGAATTCTCATGTTGTAGAGACAAAAAGCATGTGAGACCCGTATGTTAGAAAAAAGAGAAAAGTTCACCAATTCTCATGCGGTTTGCTTCAGAATCACTTATGCCCTTATGGTTTTTTTGTATCACATATGCCCGTGTGCTTGGTAAAAAATAAAAAACCACAGGGGCATATGAGATAAAAAACATACCCTTTTGCAAACCACAGGGGCATATGTAATATAAAAAAAATCACAGTGGCATAAGTGATTCTGAAACAAACCACAGAGGCATTGGTGAACTTTTCCCTAGAAAAAATTAGGTGTAGGACCCACGTTGACACGGAAATCGAAGGGTTTATAGGAAAATTTAAATTCTCATGTTGAATGAGAAATATAAAACCCATATTTTAAATGAGATCGTTTTTAAATTTGATTTATTTAAATATTTAATTTTATTATCATCAATTAATTATATTAAAAATTAAATACTGCTTTTACTGTATTACTCAATGTTATGAAATATATCTATATCCTAACCGTCTATCCCATTAATCCCTTAATAGTAAATGGAACAATTATGTTAACAGCATGAGACGATAAAGATAAAGAGATAAAAATCTTATCCTTATTTATAAGAGGTTAAATCCTACTTTAACTGGGAGATTTACACAGCTCATGCCCAAGAGGTAATCCCTATAAATAAAAGACTAAAGACCCTAAGTACACATTTTGAATTTATCTATTATTAATGCTAATACTATACATACACTCACGTCTTACCTATCAGCCCATTCATGTGAAAATATGTGAAGAGAAAAGAGAAAAAAAATAAATCTCACACACTTTTACATAAAAAAAACACTAATCCCAAAAATTAAATCCTAAGACTAAAAATCGACAATTGCGTATTCGTGTTGATCAACTTGAATACATAAAAAAATGAATATTAAATAATGGCTTCACTTTTTCTACAGTTATTCCAGATAAATTATCTGCAATAAGTTTAATTTGACGTTGTTTTGAGCGAAAATCATAGTGTTTTTATAATTTTAATTTATTTTAAGGTTATAATAGTCTTTATATTTATAATTTTTTAAGATTTCAATACTAAAACGACGTCATTACTAATAATTTATCTGCATTAACTACAAAAGTATTTTTCTCGTAAATAATATATATCACGGCAATGTAGTTAGTGCTACAAGATGAAAGACAAAACATGAAAAGAACTTATTTATTTCATTATTTGACAATTATTTCCGATGAATCAACATAACCGTAAATCACATAAACTCAAATTAAAACAAATCAAACAACTAAAAAGGTAAAAGGTGGCCCTCATCCACACCGTCTCAAGTCATCCTCCGCCGACAGTATATATGTGTTTTAGGATTCAATTTCCATTGTGTAAAATATACTGATTACTGTTAATTATTAGTCCATCAGAATTCAAATCTCAGAATTATTGTATCAGTATAATATAATATAGATTAATAAATAAAATTAAATTTAAATAAAAAACCTTTTTATTTAACTATTTATTAAATTCAAATTTAAAAATTTCTAAAAAAGTTTAGTATCAACTGTACTAATATTAGGATTATTCCATGGAATATTAATAATATTCTAATTGAAATTTCAAAATCCTTTCCTACTAGTACTAGTATTTATCCTGTTATTAAATATAGATATAACGCGGTTCTCTTCCTTTTTTATTCCTCCTCTCTCATCCATTTTTCATATAATTCTCTTTTCTTTGGATCTCCCTCCACTCCCTCACGTTATAATCTTTCTCTCTTCCCTTTTGCCCCCATTTACAATTCTCCATCAATTTGGACTCTTTAAGTCTTATCCATAAATTTCACTCTTTTCCTATCATGCTTTTCGTGATCATCGATGTTATTTTGAGAGAGAAAAATTGGTTCTTTCAGATCTAACTCTGTACAAATTGTTACTCCACAACATCTTCTTCCCCCTTTTTGTTTACAATCATCAATAAGCTGATAACCCTTTGCTTTGTTTCATTCATATTATTCATACAACTACACTTTCTAGGTTGGTTGGTTGGGATTTCCTAGTTTTTAAGGTTTTGATTTTTTTGGGGGAAAATAACAGTAACGATGAATCTGGGAATGCTTCATTATGTGTTGGATCATGTTTATGGAGCATTCATGCACCGAACCAAGATAAGCACTCCATTCTTCTCCAGAGGATGGGGTGGCACGAAACTTGAGATGCTTGAGAAGATGATTAAGCAATTGTTCCCAGATGTGGTTGGACAAAATTGGCCTCCAACTTTGGTGCAACCCGTTTGGAGAACAATTTGGGAGACCAAGACGGCTTGTTTGAGAGAAGGGGTATTCAGAACCCCTTGTGAGGAACATCTTCTGGGTGCATTGCCTCCTGAGAGCCACATGGCAAGGGTTGCATTCCTCATGCCCAAGTCTGTGCCCCCACACAAAATGGCTTGTGTGGTTCATCTTGCAGGTAACACACTAACACTGTATAGCTTTTGCCTCTTAACATTGTTCATCAAGGGAGATACAAGTTTGATTTGAATGGCTAGATTTTGAATTTTATGATGTGTTCATTGTCAATACTGCATGTATTTCCTGGCTTGGGATTAAAATCTAATCTATTGCTACTTTGTCAAAATTGGGTTTATAGCTTATATTTAGTACTGCTGATTGCTAAGAGATGGAAATCTTTTATCGTGCACAATTGATGATTTGGTAGACAAAATGGAAAAGTGAAGTAATTGTAAAATACTATGAAAAAAATGACAGGAAAGAAATGTGTTTTGTCTTGGTTGCCCTGATTACAATACATACAAATACAACCATTATTTGGACAACATTTAGTGCAAAACTGAAGAGTCACAATAGTTCAATCTGTACCTTTGTTGTTTCATTTTGACCTTATATATGTAGGGAAGTGGTAAAAGGAAAGAAGGATAATGGTGACCTTTCTTATTTTTAGTCCTTCTGTTATGCTGGCCTCTAGACAAGTTAATCTATTTTGAGGCTTTCATTTTTATGCCTCTAGCTTTCTATGTATCATACTCCCCGCAAAGCCCAACTTTAGGACTTCGTTTGAGGTCAACATAGTACATTGAATGTTATGTTTATTTACATGCAATAGAATAATCTGATTTAGGTATTTAACTTTATTGCTTAGTGGATCAAATCCGGTGAACATTGTATGTGACGGATTTGGTCAGCAATTATGATTATGGAAAAATAGTGTTTTCCTCCTAACAGTTGCCTAATTGAACCATGAACGAACTATTTTCTGTTAAATTTACTATTTTACCTTTTCCTCCTATTCCTATATAATTGATTCTTTGCATCAAAGGCACAAATGTTAACAAAAAAATGGTTAAAAGCTTAATTAGTCCATTATATTACTAAGAACTACTAAACAAAAGCACAGAAGATGGAACTTCTGTCCAGCTGTGATTATGTATTTAAGACATTTCTGTTTTGTTTAAAAGTTGTATCTGTTTTCCCCATCGCAGGAACTGGGGACCATGCATTTGAAAGAAGATTGCGTCTTGGTGGTCCATTGGTGAAGGAAAACATTGCTACCATGGTACTTGAAAGGTCTGGGTCACTTTTGTATGGCCTTATTTTGAAAACACCTTTCTATTTTTGTTTAACTATTCATTTAATATCTGCTCTTTATTCATGACATATGCAAATGCAGTCCATTCTATGGACAAAGACGTCCTATGCTGCAACGTGGTTCAAAACTTTTGTGTGTCAGTGACTTGCTTTTATTAGGAAGAGCAACCATCGAAGAGGCACGCGGTCTCTTACACTGGTTGGATTCTGAGGCAGGTTTTGGCAAGATGGGTGTTTGTGGACTTAGTATGGGTAAGACTCCTGTGCAACCCATGTTGGAGCTTATACTATTTTTATGTTCACAGTCCTGTTTAACTTTTAATTAAGCTACATTGTTTTTCAATTATAATAATATACCTCGTGAGAAATAAACTAGTGTTATTGCTTGAACTAAGTCTTCTTTTAGATGTAAATAACATCGTGGTTACCCCATGAGTGGCATAATCAAACATGTTTGAACTTTTAGAATCTCTTGGCTTGTCCTTATAATTTTTGCATTATTTGAATGGCCTTTAGGAGGAGTACATGCTGCAATGGTTGGCTCACTTCACCCTACACCTGTTGCAACACTCCCTTTTCTCTCACCACATTCTGCCGTTGTGGCATTCTGTGAGGGGATTTTAAAGCACGGCACTGCCTGGGAGGCACTGAGAGAGGATCTTGCAACAGAGAATGTTGCAATGACTCTCGAGGAGGTGAGGGAACGGATGCGAAATGTGCTGTCTCTCACAGATGTCACACGCTTTCCAATTCCCCAAAACCCCAATGCTGTAATCTTTGTTGCTGCCACTGTAAGTTCCAGTTCTTCTCATCACCTTGTGAATGTGCATAGTGAAAATTGGAAGAAATTTATGTTCGGCATTCATTTATTTAAATTGCTTTTCCATTTCCATAGCTGTGATGATGTGTTGTTCCACTGTAAGCTCCAGTTCTTCTCATCACCTTTTGATGATGTGTTGTTAAATGTGTATCAACCATAAGATAAATGAGGTTCTCTTGCTTTGGAATGTAGCATTCTGAAAACACTCCAACTTTTCTGTCTTATTTTCTTTCTGGTACAGAGTCTGGTTGTTGGTTGTTAGAATCTTATGATTTGGGATTTGAATATCACAATTCGATACAATTCAGCAAAGCAGTAATTCATATCATGGGAATAGGGATGAATCGGAGATGGCTTTGCATGAATTGGTGGGATTCCGTATCACTTATACAAATTGCATAATTCAATGATGCATTAATTTTTTTTCCTTTGCTTTCATCTAAAAGAAATTGAAAAGTCAAATGGACTTAAATTGTTAAATGAAAAAGAACTAAAGGAGTGCTATTGGATGCACCCTATTTGATTTGTCCATTGCCCTGTTTTCATTCTTTGGAATATGAGATTGACACAGTCATTTGCTTACTTTAGATGCACCTTATTTGGTTATATCATTGTTCTATTTTCGTTTTTCGACGTAGTCATTTTATATGGCTCGTTTATGACTTATGACTTGTAATTTTGTTTTATGGTTCAGTTGTTTTGCCAATTTCTAGTTTAAAATCATTACATTGAGCATTATGCATTATTTATATGTTATATTTCAAACTATTTTCCATTGTCTTTGAATCTTGCGATTTGATGCAATTCACTATTCAAAAATTAATTTGGTGATTGATGATTTACATTGCGATTTGATAACCTTACTTGTGCTAGCGAGGTCAACAGTTTACCACACTAAAAAGAAATTTTCAGTTTGGTGCACTGGTATTTATATGTTTTCATGGTGTTATTTGAAGATAATTTGTTTTCTTATATTTGGTTGAAATTAAAAACTACTAATTTTAGGAGGAAATAAGTATTTGAAATGTTGACTCGTAAGTCGTAACACTTTGCTGTCTATAAAATCTTGTTTTATTGAGATGACTGCATTTGCCACTGGATTTCTCCTCTTAATCATTAGCAGCATTGTTTTGCAGGATGATGGATACATCCCAAAACACTCGGTCCTGGAACTTCAGAAAGCTTGGCCGGGTTCTGAGGTGAGATGGGTCACAGGTGGGCATGTCTCATCCTTCCTTCTCCACAATGGCGAATTTCGAAGGGCCATTGTGGATGGTCTGGATAGAATACCATGGAAAGAGTCTCCATTGTGATGGAGTAATTGTACATGAAGAAGGGATTGCTTTTATACTGTTGATTGATTCAGTGGTCCCTTCCACCTCTAATACTCACCTGAACATGTAACATGCATAGTTGATCCCAGAACTCCATCCCCAAATGAAGAGGGATGGGGTTGTAAATTATCATCAAGAAAATGTACATTAAAGTTAGAAATGGTGACACAAGTTTGTGAAAAACCTAATAAAATTGCTGGATGCGAATTTAATTGTCCCCATTTCTCCTTAAACTCTTATCATATCCAGTCGTCCCACTAATTTCATAGTCCTTTATGTGGAACAGTGACCAAAAGGTCACTCTTCCCTAACTTTTTTTCTAAATGCCATGTCAACAGTGTTAATTTCCAATATGTCACATGGGCAAGTTCGCTGGGCACTGTGGCGAACTCCATTTGCTGATGTGTCTCGTTCCTGGTGGACACCAAGTTCGCTACTTCACGTAGCGAACTTGGTTGCAATTAATGCACCTGCACGTTTCCACCTGTCATGCCACATGGCAGACATGCAACGAAGTTCGCTGCCCACTCCAGCGAACTACGTGTAACAGCTAGGATGACACATGGTAGACATGCAACGAAGTTCGCTGGGGTGGGCAACGAACTTCGTTTCATGTCTGCCACGTGACGTGACAGATGGAAACATGCAGGTACGTTAATTGCAATCAAGTTCGCTACGGTGCCCAGCAAACTTGCCCACGTGGCACATTGGAAATTAAGATTGTTGGTGTGACATTTAGAGAAAAAAGTTGGAGAATAGTGGCATTTTGATCACTGTTCCCTTTATGTTTTATTGGCTTGTTTGTGTATTGGATGACAGTGTTGGGTGAGGACAGCAATGGTGATAACAATCGGAGGCAGCATAAAAAAACTCTTTTTATTATAAGAGTTATTGCAAAAATCTGTTTGATATAATTTCTATTTATAAAAATAAGAAAAGTTAAAAAAATAGAGGATTCAAATAGACATTTAGAGTCAATCATCAAAATTAATCTTTATATACAAATATTAACATAATTTATATTAGGAAAAAGTGTTTGTCATTTTAAATGACATAAAGTTATGTTATTTTAAGAGAGATAGACATAGAATAAATTTTTTATTTAAATTTTAAATTAAAAAAAAACCACCAACTTTCTCTCTCCTATGATTTTCATTTTTGTGTCTATATCTCCTAAAATAACATAACTTATGTCATTTAAAATGACAAACACCAAGTCTTTTATATTATTATATTAATATTTTATCAATGACATTAACTACTATACATCACATGTATCATTGATGAAGTTTTAAAATTGGAAAATTTCTACAATACTCACGTACCACCTATGTGCCAGTAGTACATGTTTGATACCTAGCAAGCACAGACACGGCATTTTTTGAAAAAATTGAGTGTGGGACACCAACACGTTCCGACACGCGTCTGACATTTTGGGACACGCGGTTAATGCTCTGATATGTTTTTTCGACACGCAGTCAACTTTTTTCGATACACAGTCAACGTTCCGACATGTTTCTGACACATTTTTTTTTTGGTTCTAAATTTTATTTTATTAACTAAATGTAAAAATATAATTGATAAATCAATTTTTTCTGTTATGAAATTTGACATGAAAAATCAATAAGATACGAAAGATTATTTTTGTTTATATTTATGTTATGAAATTTGAATATTTGATTGTTTATATGACTTATTATGGGCTGTTATATGTATTAAATATAAATTATATTATATATATTAAAATATTATTTAATATCAAAAAGTGTCCCGACGTGTCGAAATATGACATTTTTAAAATTAACGTGTCGATTTGTCATGTTATGTCGTGTCCCGTGTCAGTGTCGGTGCATCATAGTTTGATACTACTGTAGTGTGGAAAATGTGCTCTTAAAATTGACTATGAAAACAGTTCGACAAAATTCATATTTATTTGATCAAACATGGTTTATAAAATAAAAATAAATAAATTTATTCAAATAATGAATAGTAAATTATTATTATTATTTACTAAGTTCAAGTTTTATTTACTGTGATCCACCATTGTAGGTGTGTTATGCATTTTATGTAAAATGATAAATAAAAAATAAGAGGAAAAAAAGTATCCTTTTTAAAGGTTACAAGCTTGTATCCTTTTAAGTGATTTACACAAAATCTGATCGATAAGACTTTGTGTAAATCTTAAAAGTCACTTTTTTTCTCCTCATTCACATCGCTAACGTGTAAAGAAAAAAAAATATAACTTTTCAGATTTACACAAAGTATTACTGATCAGACTTTATATAATAAGTCACTAAAAGAACACAAATTATGTCCTTTTAAAGGACATCCACTGAACCCAAAAAATACATAGAAAGATTTGCAAGTTAACCAATAAAATAAGGACAAAACTATTTCAAAGTGAACAAAAATATATTTACTTTTCATTTAATTTAAAATATTTTATATTTTAAATTCACCAAAATTTCAATTTAGAATTTAGATACATCCTCCCTTCCGATGAATAATCTATATAATATTATAATCTGTTAAATGGGGCAAGTAAAGAAATAGTGAGATTCACAGGGGCTAATTTGCATAATTAATTGAGGCTGCGGGCTTCGACCCAATAAATAGGTCTTTTCATGATTTGCAAGCTTCGTCCTCTTTATTTATATTCAGCCGTTTCTCCTTTCCATCTTTCCTTCACTCACAGAGCCTCTAAACCCTAATCATCTAATGGCGTACGCTGCGATGAAGCCCACGAAGCCGGGTTTAGAGGAGCCCCAGGAGCAGATCCATAAGATTAGAATCACCCTTTCTTCTAAGCACGTCAAAAATCTCGAGAAGGGTATAATATCAATCGATTAATGTAAGTTTATGTTTTTTAATGGGTGTTGGATGATGTTTCAACTTTGATGTTTGTTTTTGTTGTTTAGTTTGTACGGATTTGGTTCGTGGTGCTAAGGACAAGCGCCTCAGGGTCAAGGGACCTGTTAGGATGCCCACTAAAGTTCTTCTCATCACTACCAGGAAATCCCCTTGTGGTGAAGGTATTTTTACTCTTTACTCTTTTGTTTTTTTTTATTATTATTTATGTGCTTAACTTGTTCCCTTTTTGTTCTCTGCTTCTTACGCTGGTTTTTTATGATGTTTATTAGTTGTGCTTTAAATTTAAATATGGCTGTCCTTCATATAATATAAGGAGAAAATGTTTTAGAAATGTTATGATGATTCGATGTGAGTAGTGAAATTATGCACTGTGAGATGCTAAATTGAATTATAATTTGTATCTCAAAACATAACAATAATACGAATTCTGTCTAGTTTGGATGGAGGGTTTTGAAGGGATTAGAAAGGAAGGGTAAAGTTTTTTTATTTTTGGATTAAGAGAGTTATATAGTGTTCATGAAAATGAGTGGGGGATGATTGGAATTTTCATGATAATCTATTATTTTATTCCTTTCATTCTAATTTTTTTTTTAAAACTAGAGAACATTTACTTGAAAAAATATACTCCCCTCTTTCCCTTTTTTTCCCAAAACATTTACTTGAAAGAACATTTACTTGAGTGGAAAGGTGTCTATCCATATCTTGCTGTGGTCTAAGTTTTAGATATGAATCATCCTGAAATCTTTCAAAACTGAAATAAAAAGGCCCAGAATGTTGCAGGAGATGTCAATCAACTCTTGCCGATCTTCTGGCAATCAATCCATCCTGTCTCTAACACTAAATAGAAACGCTTTTTTACTTGCATAAATTTGAGATGTAAAAGATGGTTTGTTCAATTTTCAAACTTTTATTTGGAGTCAGCAAATTGTCTAAGTTTTTCATTTATTTTTTTCAACTCATTTTTGTTGAATGGTATTTGGTACTTAAATCAGAATGTTCTTCAACAAATTTTTCTGTCTTATGAATGACCCAAATATCGGTTGGAATTAATGAATCAAGTTATTTATCTGTTTGATTCTCTTCTATGCATTTGATTTGCAGGGTTGTCTCTTTTGCCTTTTGTTCTCGTGCAATTGATTTTATGTGTGTGCATGAGCATTTTTGTTTTTCAAAACATGGGAAATTGCTGTTGGGGCTAAAAGCTCAAAAAGCTTTATGCTTTCTGGTCTTTCTCTGAGTCATGAAATGAAAGTGTAATTTCCTTTCTGTCAACTGATTTATGTGCTGTTCATATGTTTTTGTGAAAGAGTAATATTGTTGTGTTATTAAGTCTGCTAACTTAATTTTTGAATTACTGTGTTCAATATCAAGGCTTTTCTGAATGTTGTTTCTTGTTGATTGTTTAAGGTACCAACACATGGGACAGATTTGAACTCCGTGTGCACAAGAGAGTCATTGACCTCTACAGTTCACCAGATGTTGTTAAGCAGATTACCTCGATCACAATTGAACCTGGTGTGGAGGTTGAGGTGACCATTGCAGATGCTTGATCTTGATCCAAAATTTAACTTTGTTATGCTTCCTACTTACTTTTTTCTTAATTTGTAAGTTTTGGTTGCGGCACTGAGTTGGCTTGTTTTCTCTAGTTTTACGGTTGTGGACCAATATGCATTGCTTGAGAAATGTCATGCGTAATATGTTCTAGAATCTTACATTTTGAATATTGGTTTTGATATTATATCACAAATTGTTATGTACTCAGCTTAAATGATATATTCCGTTTTTCTTGTCCTGCAGATTTCGAACTTAGTAGTAATGCTGATTGCTGTACCTAGTTTGAGATATTATTTCCTTTTGAAAGAACAAAATTGTTTCTAAATGTCTCAAAAGAAACAGCAAAATGGATGATCAAAAAATTCAAAACAGCTTCCCAATTATTTATTTCTATATTTATATTTAAGTTCTGAAAAAGACATGAATTGATTGAAATAAAAAAAAAAGAACAATAATCACTAAGATTAATCTACTGATTTACGAATCACCCATCCAATTAGCTTAGAACACGGGTTTCATTACAGTGTATTTAGATGGCAACAAAAATATAGAATTAAAAAGGCTTATTGAGTAATATTAACAAGTGATTACAAGCCTGTTTTCTTTTGGCATGAAGTTTATAGGGGGCTAGAGCCCAAACAAAAAAAAAAGATTACACATCTAAATTTGTTTATAGTTTTTAGAGTGATATTAGATTAAAATCTTCTCTTTAATATTCGTAAAGCAAATTTTGTATTGAATTAATCTAAGAAAAAAAAAACTCGTTCAGGATTGTTTTGGATTATTTTTTACCACTTTTTTAACATTACTCAAAGAAGGATGCATTTGAAGCTTGACATTGTAGAAATAGAAATTCCTATTGAAAAAATGGGGAAGTATATTGTAACAATCAATTAGTGTTACTATCAATGTTACTACCAATCAATTTCACCACTAGATCAATTATTTTGATCTAACAGTTACATTTTGATCAATCAAAGGTGAGGAACTTGATTGGGCCAAGGAATTGATTGGGTTCTAGGCAGGAGATATTGGTCCAGCATAAGGTGAGGAACTTGAGTTTGGTGAGCTTTGCGATGGTGGGCTGGATTGGGGCGGTGAGCTTGGGTAGCTCGTGGAATTCGAGAATCTCCAGGTAAGTGAGCTCACCCATATATAGGAGTATCAATTCTTGATACACGAAACAAGATTCGTGTTATATCAACCCGAATTGTATATCCATACAAAGAGTAGTGTTATTTGACCTAGCAAATGTTGCTTACACATATTGCGCAAACACAAATTACACAGGACCTATTATAATAGTTGAATGAAATGGAAAAGGAAAAACAAAAGTGGAGAATAATTGTTTATACTACAAAAATGTGAAAAAATGTTATTATCCCACACCCCCCAAAGAAGAGCCACATTCAAAAGACTGGTCAATAGATAAACTAATGTGAGACTCATAACATTACCAATTGTTATAGACATTGAGATTATCACTCCAAAAACCTACCTCAAAGAGTGAGGGTGCTCAAGGTCTTATAAACCCTACATTAGTTGCTCATATAATTAATATGGGACTCATAACGTTGTCTACGGCGGCTTTCACTATGTTTACTCTGATCCAGTGATAGCCCTTTTTTCTTTTGGGGGCTTCACTCATCTATCAGTATTCAGTACAATACCCTTCGGAAGATATGATTCCTTAATTCAGTCTAAAAATAGTCTTTTTCGTGACCTTAACACTCAATAAAAATATCAATTTCATGATCTCACGTCCACGAAGGAGAGCCACACCCAAAAGATCAGTCAATGGGTGGGAGAACCCTTAGATTTCTTAATAGATTTGAACTTATTATATTTTTAGATGTGAGATTCGTAGCAGAAAATAACAAAATCGGGGTTGTTTACAGGAGTAATTCCTCCTTATATGGTGAAATTCAACGGAACTGGTCAAAAAGAACAAAGGTGGTGTTTGGTTCAGGAGTTTGCCATTGTTTCTCATCAAAGTGATTCTTAGATAGTCAGTTGTCCAAGTTTGGTTCACTGATTTCATGTTTGTCACCCATCAATGGCAGTTCCCTAGGCAAACCAGTTTGCATGTTAAAAAGCAACAAAATCACGGTTGAAGAAAGCAATTGGGAAGGTGGTATTCACTCAAAAATCGGAGAAGTTATTAAAGTGATACAATACAATGACACAATTACCTATCACACAAAGCACTATGTACACACAACGGTAACTCACTTTTAAAAACAGTAAAAAAAAAGGGTATTTTAGTATTTTCAAACAATTTTTCCATCAATATTCTATCTTCAACTAAACATACACTCAAAAAATTTAACCCAATTTCTGCGATAAACTTTTGGCGAACCAAACAACTTTTTTTACATTTTCCTACCAAAATCAATTTCCCACTATATTCGTACTAATTCTATTTCCATAGTAAAAAAAGAAATTCTTCTGAACCAAACACCGCAAGGGTTCAGCTTTGATAGAAATATGTGTGCTCCTTTCCTATCATTTACCCCTCTTGCAAGTAATAAAGAGAACACTTTAGCTATTGGATTCGCCAGCCATTAAAATTGAAACGATGTCAAAAGTGTTGAACAGAGAAAAACGACAATACTTTGTCAATCATCACTCTAGCACTAATTGAGGTGGGAGTGGGACATTATTGCACCCTTCCACGACCGTTTCTAGACGTTTTCTTTTAAAAACATTTTAATACAATTTATAGTTGAGGTAGTTTAAGCCAAGTATTTTTTTTTTTTTTTGGGGATAAATTATATTAATACAACTTCATTTTACGTGTTTTTAAAATGACAAAATAATATTGTATAATACTACCATATTTTTAAAATAAAAAAAATATTTAAAAAATAAACACATATGAATCCTCTCATGTATTATTACATGAATATGTCATGTGTTATTAAAATGACAATTCTTTTATCATTTTTTTATTTGCATACTTTTCTATTTTTATAGCTTATATCCTCAAAATTTACTTAAATAATAAATTATTTTATTTCTTTTTTTAAAAAATGTTGACAACGATAATTTTAAACTTTATTTTTTAAGCTTTTTATTTTAATAAGTTTTAGCTTAAAGAGATAGAACAAAGAGCCTAAACATCGAAGCCCAGCAGCCTCCCACCCAAATACAACAAAGAGCTTAAACTGCATGGTGAAAGCGGGGACCCACACAAGCACTTGTTATGGAAATACGAATAAACATCGAAGCTCTGAAGCCTCCCACCCACCGGAATCTGACCACACAGCCTATTGTAGCTCACATTAAAGAGCTGCAGTTCCAGTGCGGTCAACCCTTGGGGAAGCTCACCGTACAGCTTGTTGTGATTCAGATCCAAATATATTATGCTCGGCGGGAATTCAACATTCGACAGATCGAACGACAGCTGGTTCCTCGACAGGTCCACTGTCTGCGCCGTCTTGTTTGGCCCGAAAAGCACTGACGCATCACCCGTGAGGCTGTTCCGCGACAAGTCTATTTTGGTGAATTTGGCGTTTCCAAAGGAAACTGGGATGGGCCCGGAGAGGTTGTTGTGGGAGAGGTCGAGGTAGAAATCGTCGTCCTTGAAGGACCCCAGCGATGGAGGAATCGAACCGGTTAGGTGGTTGCGGCTCAGGAAGAGTGCTCCGAGGTTGGGGAGCTGGGAGAGTGAATCGGGAATTGAACCGGTTAGGTTGTTGAATGAAAGGTTGATGTATGTGAGGTTTGTGAGCCGGCCCAGGAAGGATGGAACTGGACCTGAGATGTTGGTCCAGTCGATGCGGAGGAACTTGAGGTTGGTGAGCTTTGCGATTGTGGGCTGGATTGGGCCTGTGAGTTTTGGAAACTTGTGGAATTCGAGGGTCTCAAGGTAAGGAAGGTCACCCACAGAGGGTGGTATTTGACCTGACAAATTGGTGTCTGGGACGGAGGAAGAAATAGAGAGTGAATAAATACGATGCGTTTCTGGGTCGCATTTTACGCAGTACCATTCGCAGCAATCCGTGTCTGGTTCCCACGAGGCCAGCACGTAAGGGTTGTTAAGTTCCTTCTTGAATTGTAGCAGCACTTTCTTGTCTTGTGGGTTGCAATGCTTCGAGAATGCAACTGGAGAGAACAATAGTAATGCGAGGAAGCATAATCCAAACGTGGTTCCCATTTTTTGGTTGGATCAGTGTGTGAAACGACAAGTGGAGGAGCGTTGCAATTTATAGAATGCGATGGGAGACAGACTTCATCTTGTTAGAATTAGATATGGAGATAGATATCCAGTGGGGATGGATGATGGGACGAAAGCAACAGGTCATTAATCTTTTGTTTTTTATGTACTTGTTGATATCTAAATTCTATTCATACAATACTTATTTTTTATTTTTTATTTTTTGGATAACCAATACTTAATTTTCTAACATGTGTAACATACGTTGATTCGAGGATTTAGATTTTCTTTTTTCAGGAGTGTATGATTTGCTAAAAGTTAAGAAACAGCATAGTAAAAGAAAATATGTTGTTTAATCCAAAAATTATAAAAAGAATTTATAAACATTTGTAATCTACTCAATCGTATATATTACAAATGTTGTTTATATCACAAAAGGAGAAAAATATCGATGATCTCGTACTTTCATTATCTCAACTTTATTACACACAAAATAATATATATAAAAAAAAAAATATGATGAATTTTATATAAGGCAGGTTCAACTTATATTAATGTAAAAATAATAAATCTTATACTAAATTTTAACAGTTATAATTTATTGATTTATATTTATCAAAGGAATCAAGAATGTCCACTCAAGATAATATGAGACCAGCACACTCGCTGGTATTTATGAAAAAAAAATACTGCAATAAATCACATATTATTATGCACAAAAGTGTAGGGTATGTGCATAATGATAATTAAAAATAAATCGAGAGTAAAGTATATACTTGAGAAGTTTAATTATTTATTTATAGATGAGTGTAATGCGAGCAGAATTCTGATTACCTTACAATAGTTGGGGAGGCTTCTCTATCTCCTCGTAATCTGATAAGATTATTAGCTTATCTCTCTTACGGTTGTTGAGATATGAGTCGATAAATTGGATCTATAACAATATTTATTCATGGATATTTATCCATGTATGTTCAACAATCAGAAAATTATAATCTTAAACCCTTATATATAAATTAAATTAATCCCCAAAATTAAAAGTATTATTTACACTAATATAAAATAATATTTTATATATATATATATATATATATATATATATATATATATATATATATATATATATATATATGTCAGATCATTTTATACTAGTATAAATTATATTCTTTATTTTGACCATTGATTCTACTTATATATAATATATTAAGGGGGAAGCATTTCTCCAGGCTTGAGATAAGCTTATCTTTAGTCATTTCCTTACAACTATGTACTCTGATAAATATATAGTTATAATATTATTATTTTTTCTCTTGATTTTAGTTGACGAGTGTCTAAAAAGTTTATACAGAGAGAAAAAAAGTAACTTTAATATTATAATCATGTATCCTCATAAATACATATATAGTTATAAGAGGTGATGGAAGTTAAACTTATCTTAAATGACTTGAGAAATATTATTCCAATATATGAAAAGTCATCACCATCTTTTTACTATGAAACCTAAATAATAATATAAAAAATAAAGTTGTCATATTCGTTTGGCAATCAAAGACGATACGGTGATGTTGTGTGTTAGTATATTTAGGTGTGATAAATTTTATGGTTATATTTATCTCATTTTACATGAGATAATTAAATTTTTTACACACATAAAAGATGAGTGAGTCCCATTTTCTTTTTTTCTCTTTTCTCTTATCTATGAGTTCCACTTGCAATCTTATTTTTATAATATAAGATAACTATTTTTTTATAATATAAAAAAATAATTTTCCTAAATTCTATATTAATTAATAACTAATTAAATGAAATATATATAAATAGAATTCATGAATCTAATGTCTTAAAATATCGAATTTACTTATTAGCACTGCCTATTGGTGCTTATCTTTTGCCACAAGATAGGGGTGTTTATCAACCGGTCCAAATAGATTCAAATCCTGGTGACCAAACCGAAAAACCGAAAATCGAATAAACCAAAAACTGAAAAATCAAAAACCGAAAAAAAAAACCCGCAAATTTTAATTGGATTGGATCGATTTTTGGATGGTTTGATAAAAACCGATCCAATTTTTTAATTCCCTTCTACCTACTTGGGTCTTTCTCTAATCATAGCCTAAAAATTTCTAAATTCAAGACTCATTAACCCATCAATTAAACCCAAAAAAAATCTAGTCACGTCTCATCAACAAAATTTTATCTTTGTAAAGCTTCATATCTCATTACAAAAAAAAAAAAAAACTATATTATAATTTACTAATGCTTTGGTATTAAAAAAAATAATTTACAAAGCCAATATATACAAAAAAATATTATTTATACGATAATCATGAAATAAATTTTAAAATTTTAAAAAAACCGAAGGACCGGCTGAGAGTAATCGTACACTGCGAAACAATTCATGCATTGATATTTTGTTTCTAACCCTCTCAAGTCTCAACTTCATCACGAAATCTCCAATGAACAGAGATTACTAGATTAGTGTCTACCCCACTTCAAAACAACGATAATAATATTAAATAACGAGTATCAACCCACGAGGTTTGCAGGCTTGCTTTTTAAATTCAAAGTTCCGAACCCTCTGTTAGGCAAGCAAAAACATTCACAGGGACACCGGACAAGTATTGCAAACCCAATAGTATTGCAGAACCTTGTTTAACATATTATTCCTTTTCAAAAGAAATAAAAACCTGGCTAAACGCCAATAAGGGTCTCAACTTTCTCAATTTCAATTATCAAAATAATAAAATTTAATTCCTACAACAATGCTGTTAAGTCACTTTTTAACATATTATTGAGATTTGGATTTGATTATAATTTATTATATTTCAAATCATTATTTTTTTCAACAATTTGATCATATTTATCGGTCCATAACTCTGGTTAATTCTGAATTTTTTGAATCAATAAGCGGGTCATGTGCAATGGGTAAGTGCATCAAAAACCGTCTTCTTCATATTCATAAAGCAAAAGTTGTAATAGCTTTACTTAGGATCGAAAAGTTGTTATTTTGCATTACAGTATACTACTTTTATATTATCACTTAAGAAAAATGAATTTTAAACTCGACATTATAGAAATAGAATTTTTTATTGAATTCAGAGATTCAATTTTATTTGAATCACAATAATGTGATTAAAGCAGCTAAGTAGCCTCCTTAATCACACAATTGATTATAGCACACGTTAAACGCCTGCAAAAAATCCACTACGGTCAAGCTTGTGGTGAACTCCACTTTTTTTTTTTTTTTTTTTTTTTTGATAACAAGGTGAACTCCACTTTGGATAGATCAAACGCTAGCAAGTTCCTCGAAACGTCAATCATCTGCGTCGTTTTATTGGCCCCGAAAAGCATCGAGGCATCCTTCCAGCTTGATCCTCGAAAAATCTATCCTCTGGGGATCCAAGTTGCCCAAGGAAGCTGGAATGGGCCCAGAAAGCTGGTTGTGAGATAGGATAGGATAATACTTGGGCCGGGCTTCTTGAAGGATCCAAATGAGTTTGGAATTGGGTCTGTGAGACTGTTCCGATCCAAGCGAAAGGACAATAGGTGGAGTTCATTAAAAGAAAGGTCAAGGAACTCAAGGTTCTTGAGTTGGGCCAAGAAATTGGGTACTGAGCCGGAGATGTTGGTCCAGCTGATGGTGAGAAACTTGAGTTTGGTGAGCTTGGCAATGGTGGGCTGGATTGGGCCGGTGAGTTTGGGTAGCTTGTGGAATTCGAGATTCTCCAAAAATGTGAGAAAATAACAAAATGGTCGTTGTTCCCAGAAGTAATTCCTCCTTCTATGGTGAAATTCAACGGAATTGGTCAAAAAAGAACAAAGGGGTTCAACTTAGATAGGAATCTGGGTGCTCCTTTCCTATCATTTATCTGTCTCGCACGGAATAAAAAAGAACATTTTAGCTATTGGATTCGCCCGCCATTAAAAATGAAACGAAATCAAAAGAAAAGTGTTGAACAGAGAAAAAAAAAGGTCAATACTTTGTCCATCATCACTCAAGCACTAATTGAGGTGGGACCTTGCATGCCTTCCGTGACCTTTTCTGCACGTTTTCATCTAAAAACAATTGAACATAATACTTAATTCCTTTTATAGGCATTTCCTCAAAGTGCAATGCAAAACAAATTAACAACACCATATCACATATTCACATACTTGAGTGTGAGCTGTAGATAAAAAATAATAATTGAGTTTTTGAAACTTCATATGTAATACCATAATCAAACCTACAACTTACATCTTGCTAATAATGGTAACCAATTCACGAGTGGGAGGTGAAAGTATTAGCCAAAACTTGATTGAATTTTAGATTCATTTTGAGAGAGATTTGGTTGATAACATCTCACCTATTTGTACTAAAAAACTCCATGGTAAGGATCGAATAATTAATGGTTCTTTACATTATAATTATCTAAAAACAACTGTCATACTACTAAATTTGTAAAAAAAATTACTATATTCTCAACATAAAAACTATTGAGTTGGTAAAAACAATGTTGTTTATTAATCAAAGAAACTCTTAACAGAAATGAATAAATGATTTCATCATGAAAATTTATACTGAAGCTTTACGTTCTTCAACATAAAAACTTCAAAATGATGTTGAAAGTTAAATGCATATAAATAGATCTTGCTATAGTAAATCAGATAACCCACGAAGATCTGAAGTAGAATTTCTTGTTAGTTAATTGAATTTTTTTTTCCTTTTAAATTACGTAAGAGATGTAACCACTTAATGGAGAAGGGTGACTTGATGAAAGATCAAACCTCAAACATTAACATCACACCTAAGTCTTGAAAGCATAGGCTTGTGGGAATTTATTTATAATCTTGTTGGCAATTCAACTCTACTTACATTAACTTAGTTAGGTTTTTTGTTTTTTGGTAAACACTTAGTTAAGCTTAATTCATGTTGTTAAGGAGGTAACCTAAGGCACTTGATGCATTCGTTAAAAGGAGGTGTGCATCATGTTTTAGTTAATTATTTAGGTTGAACTTTG